GGCGCTCAATTGGGATCTTTTGTGCAAGCTTGGGGCGGTCATCAGGCTGTTCGGCATGCCGTTTATTCTTTCAGGAGATTGGAATTTGAGCCCCGACGAGCTGGTCGGCTCAGGGTGGGTCGAGGCCGTCTCTGGACACATTCTTTCCCCTCAGCTAGCCACGTGTACGGGTGGAAAAGGCAGGGTGCTGGACTACTTCATCGTCTCAGAGGGTCTGCAGTATCGTCACAAGCTCGCCGTGCTCACCGAGGTTGGCACTACGCCGCATTACCCAGTTCTTTTGTCTCTTGAGGGACTGCGGCAAGTCCCCACGCTACCGCAGATTCGTGTGCCTCGAATGTTCCCTCGCCAACGGCCTCACGGACCTATGCGAGAAAGCAATCGCTGGCAGTCAGTTATGGAGCAGGCAGTTGTGGGGGAGCTTCGTGCATACCATGGAGCTCGAGTTCGTTGACATCTACCAGATCAGCAGTGACGAGGCGCATCTGTACCAAGGTCGGGCCAAACCTTTGCAGCGCAAACGTGCCGCTGCGCGCAAGCCGTCAGCCATGCCCTATCCGCGTCTCTCGCCTTTCGCCACGTGGTGGAGGCTTGTGACACAAGTCTTTGCCGAGCTCGGCAAGTTTCAGTCCCCGTCGCATCGTCGTACCACTTTGTCGTTGTGTGAGAAGCTTGCCGAGCAAGGGTGCAGGTTCACCGATGCCAGTGCGCAGCCTTGGGTTATTCTGCTCTGGACCGCCCCCTCGCCTCCCTGGGAGCTTTCGGCGGAGCTCGCCTACCGCGCCAGACAGCTCTCATCCAAGCATCAGCGCGCGGCTGAGCAGCACAGGGACGCCAGCTGGAAGAGCTGGGCCAAGTCTCACAGCAGCGCAGGCGGAGGAGCCCTTGTCAATCTCTCGAAGCCTCCCACCCCATGGCACAGCAGCCCCAGTTTTAGACATGGCGGCTCGCTGCCGCCAGCCCCAGCCAGTCAGGAAGAGGAGATGGCGCTCTTGGTTTCCGAGTGGGGGGCGTATTGGGAGGTGGGATCCCTGGCCGATCCGCGTTTGTGGCCGACAGATATGGGCCCTGAGCTGCCTGATTTCGATCTGGATGATATCAAAGCGTGTCTCCGAAGTTTTCGAGCCAGCAGCGGCGCAGGTTACGTATGGCCAGATCTCGCCCCGTCAGTTGCTCGAGTTGCCAGACGAGGGCCTTGAGTGTTTTCGCCAGCTGATATTCGCCATAGAGAGCAGCTTCGAGTGGCCTCAGTTGTGGTCAAAAATAGTCTTCATTTTGAAACGTACAGGTGGATTGAGACCCATAGCTTTAATGCACGTCACGTCCAGGGTCCAAGGACGACTCCGCCGACCCCTCATTCGGCGTTGGCAGCAGCAGAATTTTCGGGAGTTCTGGTGGTCGGCTCGGGGGAGGGGGTCGGATCGGCTTGTGTGGGTTCAAGCTGCCTTCGCTGAGTGGGCCCAGGGACGCAATCTTTTCGCTGGCACGGTCCTGTTAGACCTTCACAAGGCGTTTGAACACGTTCGGCGCGGAGAGCTGCTCAAGGCGGCTCAGACCACGGGATTTCCCCTGCGTCAGCTGCGTTTGTTGGTGAGCCTGTATCGGGCTCCGCGGGTCCTGGACCATGCTGGGGCCACCTCGGCCCCCATCTGCACCGAGAAAGCGGTGCTCCCAGGCTGTCACTTTGCCACCCTCATGCTGCAGCTAGTGCTGCTCGCACCGCTTGATACAGTGCAAGCAGCGTTCCCTCTTCGCACTGCTCGTGAGGTTCAGATCGGGGTGGTTGTGGATGACTCGGGGTTGCACAAGGTCGGATCCTCTGAGCAAGTGCGAGACACATTGGTGCAAGCCACACGTTTGCTTCATCAAGAGTTGTGCGCCGTGCATCTGCCAGTCAGCAAGCATAAGTCTCGTGTGCTTGCCTCCTGTCCTCAGCTTCGTTCGCGCTTAGCCCTTGCGCTCAACGCCAAGTGTGTGCTTGGTGTACAGAGTGAGCGCAATCTTGGAATCGATTATGCTGCAGGAGGCGTGATCAAGAGACACACCAAGTCAGGGCGTTTCACTGCCGCGAAGGTGCGTCACAAAAAGATCCTCTATCTGTCTAGCAAGCTGTGTAAAAGGCGGGTGCATCACATGGTCCGTGCTGCCGTTCAGGCCTCCACCTCTTACGGGTCGGGGGTGATGGGCAGCAACGGACGTGAGCTCGCGCAGGCTCGTCTTCATCAGGCCACCGTGCAGTCGCAGAGGGTGTCCAGGACGCTCGATCACCCTTATGCTGCAGCTTTCTGGCATTCCTCGCATCGATCCTGCGTACCACCTCAACGTCTCTCCTCTCCTCTCTATCGCTACCTCGCTCTGGGACGGTTGGGTTCCTAGTGGGGTGGTGAAGCAAGGCCTCGAAGGCGCGAGGCAGAGACTTCAAGAGCACGGCTCTCCTTGGCAGGCCATCAGAGGCCCCTTTTCCGCCGCCGTCGCCACGGCCATGCGGCTCGGCATCAAGATGAACGGGCTCGAGTGGCAGCACCCTAGCGTGGGCGTTTTCTCGGTTGAAGCGTTGTGTCCCCGCACGGTCAAAACTGCCCTCGAGACCGTCGTCGAGAGTTGGCTTTGGAGCAAGGTGGCCGATCACCTTCAGATGCCCGAGTTTGTGCAAGGACCCTTTTTGGCTCCCATCAAAGCAGGTATGTCCAAGCTTAAGGCGCACGAAAAAGCCTATGTAGTCAGTGTAGTTTCTGGCGGCCAGTGGCCGCAAGATAGACAATATCAGCTTGGTCTGTCGTCTCAGCAAGAGTGTCAGGTCTGCGCCTCGGCCCCAGGGACCCTCTTGCACAGGCACGCTGGATGCGCTGCCCATCAAGACTTGCTCGAGCTTGAGCGGGAGCCTCCAGCGTGCACGCAGGCCATGGTAGCAGCAGCAGGTAATCCCCTCGTTCGTCTCCTCCTCGAGAGGCTGCTCGCGCCGCTGCCTGCTCCTCCTCCGCCCCGACCCAACCCCCCCGAGGAACTCTGGCTCTTCGGAGCACCCGATCAGCTAGGAGGGGATTGTTTTCTCGACGGGAGTCTCTTTGACTCCGAGCTCCCGCCCACCGCGCGATCGCTAGGTTGGGCCATCGTTTCCTTGCACGACGATCCGAGCCTCCCCGCTTCTCGAGCGAAGCGCGCGGTGGTGGCTGGTGGTATACCAGCTGGGCACTTTGACATTGATGCGTGCGAGCTTTGGGCGTTTTTCATGGGCCTTAGGCAGGCCCTTCCTGGTGCCGTCTTCTGGACTGACTCCAATTTTGTTTTCCAAGGAGTCTGGAATCGAGGGCGGCAGTTTTGTTGCTCGTCCAAAGCTGCGTGGGCCGACATCTGGAAGCTTGTCTGGCATGCCGTTGAAGACAGAGGTGGTCTCGACGCACTGCGCCTTAACAAGGTTAAGGCGCACGCCTCTCGCGCCGACGTCACCTCGGGTCGTCTCTCCGCCAGGGCTCAGTTGGGCAACGAGCTGGCAGACCAGTATGCCAAGCAGGCCGCAGAATATGGCAGAGTCGCTCAGCAATATCACGACCTGTTCAACAGTCAGTTTAAGGTTGTGCAGGCCCTGACCCAATGGGTTGGCGTGTGTGGGCCTCCCATGGCCGACCTGGACTGTTTGCATGTTCCCGTGTCCAAGCGTGCCAGGGCTCTCAGGACCGATGTGCCCAGGTTGCATGTAATTCCTCCTCCTCCCGTGGTCTCGTCGGTTGAACGTCGTGCCGATGTTGCGATCGCGGTCCTGAGGAGAGAGGGTCACGCTATCCATCGAGCCTTTCCCTTTACTCTCGCGGGGGGGAGGCGGGGGGTGGTGTGCGTCCTGTGCGGTGCTGGCGGAGTCACCGTGTGCAAGCAGTTTCGTGACCCATGCCCGCCAGTGCCCTCTGTCTGGGACAGCCGCGTTTTGCGAGGCCTTGAGCAGGGCAAGTACAAGCAAGGTAAGGAGTGGATCCTCCTCACCGAGGCTTGGAACCCTGCCAGTCTGGAGAGAAGCGGTCAGGGCCCAGACCCAAGCCGCCCTCCCCCTCGAGGAGAGCACCCTGTCGCTGGCCCCTCGACTGGGTGGCGCCCCCAGTCGAGGGTGACAAAAAGGTCGTCCTGATGGGTGCCCCTCCCGAGGTTTTTGTCTTACGGAGGCCTTGCTCCGTCGGGGCTCGTGGGGATCTCATGAGCGCCTACTGCGTGCGCAGGAGGAGTGAGAGGCGGAGGGGGAGGAGGAGGAGGAGGAGGAGGAGGAGGACGAGGAGGAGGAGGAGGAGGATGAGGAGGAGGAGAAGGAAGAGGAGGATGATGAGGAGAAGGAGGATGATGAGGAGGATGAGGAGACGGATGGGGATCATGAGGCGGAGGAGGAGGAGGATGCGGTTGATGATGATTATGATGATGATGATGCTGATGATGATGATGATGATGATGATGATGATGCTGATGATGATGATGATGATGCTGATGCTGCTGATGATGATGATGACGATGATGATGATGATGGTGATGATGATGATGATGCTGATGCTGATGCGGATGCTGCTGCTGATGATGATGATGATGATGATGATGATGATGAGGAGGATGAGGAGGAGGAGGAGGAGAGGAGGAGGAGGAAGATGAAGATGAGCTAGCAAAAACAGAGGAGGAAGAGAAGGATGCTGATCATGAGAAGGAGAGGAGGAGGAGGAGGAGGGGAGGAGGAGGAGGAGGAGGAGGAGGAGGAGGAGGAAGAGGAGGAGAACCCGACGCAGGAACATGTTCAGTAGGAAAAGGAGGAGGCGGAGGAGGAGGGTGAGGATGAGGAAAAGAAGGACGATGGGGAGGATGAGGAGGGGGCGGAGGATGATGAGGATGCGGAGGAGGAGGAGGAAGAGGAGGAGGAATACGAGGATGAGCAGGGGGAGGAGGAGGCGGAGGAGGATAAGGAGCTGGAGGAGGAGGAAGAGGAGGAGCTGGAGGTCATGCTGGTTGCCCGTCCCCGCTTTCCCGAGCCGCAGGTACCGCCGCCAGATGATGGACGGGAAGCCCATCTCGACGCTCAGGCCATGTCAAAGAAGAGGAATCTGATAATGAAGGAGGAGGGGTAGGAGGAGGAGGATGCGGAGTAGGATGATGGTGTGGATGATGATGATGCTGGTGCTGATGCTGATGATGATGATGATGATGATGATGATGATGATGATGATGATGATGATGATGATGATGATGATGATGATGATAATGCTGATGATGATGATGATGATGATGATGATGATGAGGAGGAGGAGGAGGAGGAGGAGGAGGAGGAGGAGGATGAGGAGAACGATGAGGAGGAGTAGGAAGGAACGAAGGGGTGCTGCGAATTTTCGGTAAGGGCTTTACACGGGGCGTTCCAGAAGCGGCCTCGCCTTCGAGGATCGAATGTGTTGGCACCTCTTCCTCGGCGGAAGCGGGCGACGTTTAAACAGCGGCGGAAAACTGTCGGAAGCTTGCGGAAGAAAGACGTGTCTCCCAATCTCTGCCATCCAGTACGCATCAGGGGTTCCCAGCACCGTAGGAATGTATGTATGCGTGCGTGCGTTTGTGTGTGTGTGTGTACCTGTGCATGTGAATGTGCGCAAGCATGCGTCTGTGCAAGTGCATGTGTATAGGTGTGTATACGTGTGTGTGTGTGTGTGTCTGTGTGCGTGTGTGTGTGTGTGCGTGTGTGGGAGTGTATGTGTGTGTGTGTGTGTGAGTGTGTGCAGGTGTATGTGTCTGTGTGTATGTGTACGATTGCATACATGCATGTGTACATGTATGAATGCGTGCCTGGATGTATGCATGTGTGTATGTATACACGCATGCATGCATGTATGCATGCATTCGTGTTTCGGTATGTCTGTATGTATAGATCTGAATGTGTGTGTGTACTTCTATATGTACATACATGTAAGTATCGATCTATCATGACATACCAGAGATGCCAGTATGACTTGCCATCGGAGGAGCTCCCGTACGCGGGCGGGCGCCTCCTCCAGCGATACCTCGTACCTCCACGACTGCGACGACGACGACGACTACGACAACAACGACGACGACAACGAAGGAACGACGACGGCGAACCCCGACGGCCTCCGAAGGTCTGATGACGACAGCGACGAAAGCGACGACGACACCCGACGGCCGCCAGAGATCTCGGGCAGGCCTCTGGACGCCTTGGGTGGCTCCCGAAGGCCTCCGAAGGGCCAGCCACGGCCAGAAAAGTACAAGCACGTCCAGAGATGATGACGACGCCAGCGGCGGCGTCAGAGGTGGTGGCAGCGATGACGGCGGACGGGTTGCCTGGAGCTTCTGGGGCCTTGCACGGCCGTCCTGGCAGTCCCCTGGGAGGGTCTTCTTGTCGCCCGCCGCCCCCTGACCCTCCTTCTCACCATTATCCTTTTGCTCCGTCACCATGATGCCCTCCAACCTGAGCCTCAGCCTCAAGCTCCTCCTCATCGCCGTCGCCATCAGCATCATCAGAATCATTAACACCCAAGTAATCATCACCATCACCATCACCATTGCAATCACTATCACCATCACCATCACCATTATCATCTGGCATAGTCCTCATCCCCATCCTCATCTTCATCATCTTCCTCCTCCTTCGCTTCCTCCTCCTCCTGATCATCATTTGCATCAGCAGCACCATCATCATCATCATCACCAACACCAGCATCATCATCTGCATCGTCATCTGGATCCCCTCATCATCAGTACCATCATCATCATCATCACCATCATCATCATCATCATCACCGCCATCATCATCATTATCATCATCACCATCATCATCATCACCACCGCCATCATCATCATCATCATCATCATCATCATCATCATCATCATCATCATCATCATCATCTCATCATCATCATCATCATCTCATCATCATCATCATCATCATCATCATCATCATCATTATCAGCATCGTCATCATCACATCATCATTCTTCATCACCAGCATACTCGTCATCTGTCATCATAGTCTGTCATCGTCCTCCTTGTCATGATTACCATCCTCCTCGTCACCATCATCACCACCACCACCGACCTGAGAAGCTCAAAGGGGCACCCACCCAGATGAGCTTCGGACAGCCAGTGCAGCCCCAAGACAGGCCAGTAGAGCTCCCAGTTTGCCCCACCGCAGCTCCGGGAGATCCCGAAGAGTGCCCACGTAGACCGCCCAAGGCAGCCCCGAAAACTGGCCCAAGAGACCTTCAAGAAGAAGTTGGCAAATATTCAACACACGTTCACTCTCCATAGGCTTTCGGTACGCTTCTGGGTACTTGCCTTGTCGGCCCGAAAGGGCCCAGGACGCCCGAAGATGCCCACCAAGGATCGCACCAAGACATCCCGAAAGGCCTCCGCGAGGGCTCCCACAGGGACGTACGACGGCCCAAGACAGGCCCAGGATGGCCCAAGAGCATCCCAATGTGGTCCAAGAGCACGCCAAGAGGTTTCACAAATGGGCACCTTGGAGGAGCTCCAGACGGCCGATGACGGATCGCCAGGACACGCTAGTAGAGCTCCCAGTTTGCCTCACGGCAGCTCCATGAGATTCCGAAGACGGCCCAGAGGGGCCCCAAGACGGCTTAGGCGAGCCCTCCAAATTGCCCAAGAGACTCTCAAGAAGGCTTCCAACTCATCAGCGCTGGTGTTTCCTCCGGTTCTGGTGCGATTCTGTGATGCTTGGCTTTCCAGTCGCCCGTGGACCCAACATGGCCCCAAACATCACCTCATTCGGACGGGGCCAGGACGAGGATAAATCCGTTCCAGAGCGTTCCGGAACGCTCTCAGAGCGTTCCGGAGCGCTTTGAGAAGGCCGCGCCGCCTGAGACATTTTCCAGATCCGCCGGATCTCAGAAATTCTCGATTTATCTATACCAGATTGTATCCTCGTCCTGGCTTCGTCTCGCTCATGACCTCTCCAGAGGCATCCCAGAGGAGCCCCAGGTCAAGGATTGGGAGGAGGGCGCAGGGAGGAAGGAGGGAGGAGGGAGGGAGAGAGGGAGGGAGGGAGGGATGGGAGGAAGGGGGAGGGAGGGAGGGAGGGGGGGGAGAGAGGGAGGAGGGGGAGGGAGGGATGGGGGGAGTGGGTGGGAGGGAGGAGCGCGAGAGGGGAGGGAGTGCTGGCGGTGGCTGGGATTGGAGGGGAAGGCCAGGCCAGGTGAGCCTCGGGGCGCGCCGAGGGCGCACCTCCTTCCTTCCCCTGCTCCTCCTCCTCCTCCTCCGTCTCCTCCTCCTCTTCCTCCTCCTCCTCCTCCTCCTCCTCCTCCCCTTGCCCTCCTTTCGTCCTTTCCCCCTCTCTCCCTCCCTCGTTACCCCTCTATCCCTCCTCTTTTTTTTGTCTCTCTGTCTGTCTCTCTCTCTCTCTCTTTCCTCTCTCTCTCTCTCTTTCTCCTATCCTGTTCCTCCCGTACATCTCTCCTCCGTCCCTCTTCCATTCGAGTAGATGATCGACAACGTAATGAATTTGCCCCAGCATGTATTCTTCTGTCGAGTCTACGCAAATACACACGATGCTCCGTAGATCTACGGAGCATGCTTTGTGCCGTTCTTCGTGTGCTCGACGAGAAGACCAGCCTATAATCCAAATTTCTGTAGCCGATCCCCCCCCTACCCCACTCGTCCCTCGTCCACCCCTCTCCCGCCCATCCTCGAGGGCTTCGACTCGTATTGGGCATGGCGCACCGACACCGCGCCAGCTCGGCCAACCCAGGAGGCGGTGCGCAGCACCAGCTGAGGGGCAGAGGGGATCCCGCGGCGGCTGCAGGCACGTGGCATCCCGTAGGCATCCTCTGTTGAGGAGGACGACGACGCCGACGCCGACGCCGACGCCGACGCCGACGCCGACGCCGACGCCGACGCCGACGCCGACGCCGACGCCGACGCCGACGCCGACGCCGACGCCGACGCCGACGACGACGACGACGACGACGACGACGACGACGACGACGACGACGACGACAGTGGCACGTCAATAATCAGCCTCAGAGGGCCCATCCTCTGGTGACCCCCGGACCTTGACAGGGCAGTTTTTTGCTGGTTCCGTTTGGCAGTATTTCTGCGTTTTTGCTGATCGCCGCGCATTTTTCCCGGTTCCGCCGCTGTTTCTTGTCCCGGTTCTGGCTCGTTCCAGGATCAGTTGGTTTCTTGTTTCCGGGAGCATTCTTGCGTTTCTCTGAAGCCGTGCTCCTGTTCCAGAGCCAGTCTGTTTGGGAAATGGGCCCTGCCGTTCCCGAGGCCCGCTGAGCCCCAGACCTGCCAGCGCGGGCCCCGGCCAGGGACCTGCTCGAGTTCCACTCGGACAAGCAGCCTATCCCCCTGGACGAGGCAACCCCGACGCCCCCCTCCCCCCGCTCCGCGGACGGCCTGTGCGCACCCGCGCCGCGTTTGGGCGCCTCCGCGAGGCGCCGGCGGTCCTCGGCCCGGGGAGGAGGAGGAGGAGGAGGAGGAGAGAGGAGGAGGAGGAGGAGGAGGAGGAGGAGGAGGAGGAGGAGGAGGAGAGGAGGAGGAGGAGGAGGAGGAGGAGGAGGAGGAGCCAGGAACTGTACGGTGCGTATTTTTCGGCCCTCGGGGCCGCGAGAAGCCGTGCGCAGTGCCTGAAGGGAGTGGTCCAGGCGTGGCGCAGAGCAGGGGCGCCGTGCTCGTGCAGTCCGGCCGGGTGAGCAAGGTCGGGGCCGGTGCGGGGAGGGCACCCTGATGCTCTTCGTGCTTGTTGGATGCTGGGTGTGCATCCCGGGGAGGGTGCCCCTGGCTGTCCTGCCTGTCTTGGCCGAGGGAGGCCTCGTGTTCTGGAGGGGTGCTCTTCTGGCCGGGGTCCGGCTGCACAGAGCATGTGGGCGCTGTTCTCTCAGGAGGGAAAACGCACACACGCACACACAATTCATCGTCGACTCCCAGGAAAGTATGCGAAAATGTAGTGGGGGGAAGACGAACCTCCAGAACATATGGGAGACTATTGGGAATCCTGGGATTTGCGTGCATTTCTTTGTGTGTCCCTGGGCCCCTTCCTTCTCGTGCCCGCGGCCGGAAGACGTGTCCGGATCCGCGGCCTCGCGGGCCGGGCCCTGCGGCCGTGACCCCATGGACGTGGGGCGCCTGTTTCCCCGCCCGCGTCGGGTCGGGCATGTCCCCCTCTGGCGGATTGTGGGCGAAAATGCAAGAACATAAAAAACATTACAAGAATCGTCCCCAGACTTACGATGCTCCAACCTACTTTGGCATTGACCACCAGAAAGAATTTCGAGCACCAGAAACAATACCGAAACTCAAGGGTTTTCACGTGTCGGGCCCTGGGAGACACTCGCCCGACACTGTTTCGACACTGTTTCGACACTCCTTTGACACTTTTCCGGGTGCTCGAAATTATTTCTGGGATGCAGTCCTTAAGTAGGATGGGAACATCATAACCCCAGACTATTTTTTGACTGTTTTTGAGTATGTATTCCTCCTACAGGGGGACAGGCCCGAGTTGACGCTGGCGTTTCGCCAGAGGATTCGACGATCGGCAGAGCAGGGCCACCGGAGAGCTCTCCACGAGGGGGGCCGGGGAGCCCGGGGACGCCCGGTCCGGCAGCGGGCTCGCCGCAGACGTCCTGGCGATTCCTGCGGGAGCCTTGCTCATGGCATCGCTGGGACGTGTGCATTTGTCTTGGTGGCGACCATCGAGGAGCATTCTTACAGTCGGGGCGCTGAAGAAGGAACCCTTTTCGTTGGGGAGGGGCTCGGTGTTCCTTGATAGTTTCACAGCTTGCCTCAGGTTTTCCTTATGTTTTCCGATGGGAAATCGAAGTTTAACCTGTGGAAAAAAGGGGCCTCGTTCCTTATTTCGGGTTCCTTCGGTCAACGCCCCGACTGTAGTCATCAAGCGAAAAATACGCGCACGAAGTCGAGAAGTGCACGGGGGATGGACGTCTGAGCGATGGCGAGCGCTCCCGCCGCAGCTCCAGCCACATGTTTGGCCTGGACGGCCACGCTCCCTCGTACATGGATTCAGGTGCCCGTGGCCGTGCTCTCGCGCACGTCCCCCTATGGCCGGCTTCCTACAGTCGGACCCGCCTCTTCATCTTTTCTGCTGCTGGTGGCGTGTGATTTGCTGGAGGAACCTTCCGTGGTTTGCACGGATTGTTCTCGGAACGTTTCTGGCTGAGAGCATCCTGTTTTAAGGCATCGGGCTTCCCTTCCAAGACTTGTGCATTTGTGCTCAGAGCATGTTTCGTTTCCAAGAACACGTCGTGGTAGGCCTGCAGGACTGCCGGGAGGGTCGGTCCCTGCTCGATGCCAGGAGGAAGGGGCGTTCTTGCCTATGGGGGCGGCAAGAACACGCTGTTTTTTTCCCTCCGCACGCGGACGGCCAGCGTGGATCATCGTGGGGCCACCGGATCTCTGCGAGCTGCACACGGCACCTGCTCCAGAGAAGCACACGACCTGAGTAACTCAGGAGGGGAAAAAAACACAGAGACACAATGAATCGTCGAATCCCCAGGAGATATGGGAAAATATGGGAAGTGGGGGGGAAGACAGAAACCCAGAACATGTGGGAAATCATGGGGAGTATCTTTATTTGTGTGTATTTATTTGAGTGTCCTGGGGCCCCTTCACCAGAGAAGCACACGACCTGCGTAACGACGATGAGATGAATCTGAAGACGGGCGGCGTGCCGAGGGGCTCCGTTTCGGGTCCGAGCTTCGAGAGGTCGTCGGGCGCTCTCGTTGGCTCTCGTCGGTCTTCCAGCCTCGGGAGGCGTTCCAGCAGCGGCGCCTCGCCGTCGGCGTTCCCGGGGTGCCCGGATCGCCCCGGAGGGCCACCGGAGGCCCGAGTTGTGACCCGAAGCCAAGCCTGGCGGCGCTCGAGGGGGGAGTGAGAGGGGGCCACGCGCAGAAGGGGGTAGGGGGAGGGGGGAAGGCTTCTTAGAAGCACCCCTGCTTCTTAGTAGATGTAAGGCCGGCGCCTTCTCAGAAGCAGCCTCCTTCTAAGAAACCTTCCCCCCCTCCCCCTACCCCCTTGTGCGCGCCGCCAAGAGAGGGGGTGCTCAGAAGGCGGCGGGGCTTTCTCGGAAGCTGGCTGGCATTCTGGGAACTGTTTCGTAGTGGTACTCGCGCTGCCGTTCGCTGTTCGCGCAGTCGACGGTGCCAGGGTTGGCTGATGTCGTAGCCGTGGTGACTTCACCCGAGATGTTACCTGAACATGCACCTGGAGCGGAATGTAAGCGTATGGGAGGGAAAGGGTGTAAAACGTATGTGGGAAACAACTGTTTCGGTCGAGGCTGGCCCCCTAGGGCTAGCGCACTGCCACGGTTTTCTGGGCCACCGTGGCTTGCTCTCCTTCCTTCTCCTCCTCCTCCTCCTCCTCCTCCTCCTCCTCCTCCCCCGCCTCCTCCTCCTGCTGCTCGAAGAACAGACAGCGGCACAAGCAAACTCTTTTTTTGCCGGTCCGTGCGATTTTTTTGGATCTGCGCTGGGTCCCCCTGGCGGCGCTGGCGCGTTACGCGCGCCTGGGAGGGGGGTCCAGCTCAGATCCAAGGAGTCCGCGTGGACCGTCAAAAGTTTATGTTTACGCAGTTGTTCGTCCCTCTAAAGCTCCCCCACTTCATCTGGCGGCCGCATCGTCTCGCGAGACTCTTCCCCCCGGGGCTGTCTCACCTATCTACCTCATCCTCGCAGGGGAGGAGAGGGTACTGACACCACTATACCCTTCTATCGTTGTCGCCTTTTTGGTCCTCTGGGGAGGCCTTCGTCGCCACGGTTGGATTCGCCTCGAGCTTCTTGCCAGAATGCACCCTGGGACATGTCTGGGAAACAGCGGTATGGGTATTTCTCAGTCTCCCTATCTCTGTCTTCGGTAGCAATTCATTGGAGCCTGGTATACCCTCTTCATTTTGTCTTTAGCGTCGATGAGCGTCGATTAGCGTTTAGGAGTCGATGAGGACGCCAATTTAGAGTCGACTAGCGTCGATTTAGCGTCGATTAGCGTCGATCTAGCGTCGATCTGGCGTCGATTCGCAAGAGCCGACCGGATGCTATGGGAGGCCACTATGAGTTGCCACCGAACCATTCTCTGTCTCCGTCGCAGCTGTCTTGACAAACGTCTCAGCAGGCACAAAACTGTAATCCGTACATACAGCGCGCCTGCACCATCGGGCAGGATGCAGCTCACACTGAGCCTGGCCTGCATCGTCGGCACCGCGAGTGCCGCCCAGAGCTTTATCCGAACGAGGGGCCTGGATGTGCCGGGGCAGCCCCAGCAGAAGAAAGCGAAGGTGCACTTGGATCTCTATCCTGGAGGCTTGCGCGATCCCCCCGGCCGCCACAAACCCTGTTATCTGGGCGTTGCATGTTTGTTGACGGCGGGCGTTTTCGCCTGGTTTCGGGCCCTGGGACCATCACAGACTGATCCGGCTCGCAGGATGGCGCAGAAAAATGGGGTCGGGTTCTGGCAGCGTTTTTCTCGCAACGTCGGATCTTGGGGAAGGCGAGGGCTGACCCCTCCCTCGAGCAGGGTTTTGGATACGCTGCGAGGGAGAGCAAGGGGGAGAGTAACGGCGGAATGTATCACACGCATTATCGCCGTCGACATGCGGGGGTTGGCGGATTACGAGTCCTTGTGCCCATACTGCCACGCTCTTCTGGACGGTCCTTTCAGACGTATCTGGGGGGACACGGATTTCCGCAGCCGGGTTACCGTTGATTTGGTCCCTTTTGGCAATGCCATGGTGGTTCCGGGGGACAAGATCAGCCAGGGTTATCATTTCTTCCACCCAGATGCGACATACCCAGTTATCATTTGCCAGCACAAGGAGGGCGAGTGTTTGGGTAACGAGATCCAGTCGTGCGTCAATGACATGCACGGCGTCGACACTGGGGTGGAGTTCACGCTGTGCATGGTCGGCAAGCAAGTGAAGGGCCAGGGCGTCGAGATGGCCTCGTACGACTGCATGCTGGACCTGAAGATCGAGCCCGCCCCCGTCAAGAACTGCGTGGGCAGCGACAGCAGCCGCAACAGGATGATCAGCCACGGGGAGCGCTCGATGAAGCCCCAGCTGAACCGGTCCTACGTGCCCTGGGTCATGGCCGACGACGCGCACGTGGAGATGGACGACGACCACGACCTCATCACGCCCCTCTGCGGCATGCTGGCGGAGCCCCTCCCGAAGCTCTGCAGCGAGCCGAAGCCGGCGAAGCCGGCGAACGCGTCCTCGCTGCTGCAGCGCGGGCCGCCGCAGCGCTCCCCCGCGCCCCGCGCGCCCCTGTCGCCGTGAGTGCGGCGCCGTGCGGGCGGCGGCGGGTCAACACGGCCGCGCTGGCCCCGCGGGGGCGATCCGCGATCCGGCAGGCCTGAGGTGATCGAGGAGGAGGGTCCGCACAAGCACAGCCTCCGGAGGTTTCCGAGGAGGGAGGCAGATGCCGATGCGTGCTCGTTTTCTTGCTCGCTGTTTTGCCGATCGGCGCGGCTCCCGCACCCCCCCTTCCCCCCCTCCCGCATGGAGTAGATGTTGGCTGTTTTGCAGGCGCCTGTTTCAAGCAGGTGGACTCTCCCGCAGAGGACGCACTGCTGCAAACGGTCGCACTGAGCAGAGGTCTGGAGCCAGGCCTCCCCCGCTCCCGCCCAGTGTCGAACCGCCGAATATACGAAGACGTTGCCTGCGGCTGCTCGTCCCCGGGAGCCCTCGTGGCCACGGCCCGACTTCTGAGCAGGACGCAGCCCCCTGGGGGAGGTCCGGGGACGAGTGGTGTCGCCTGGCATCGCTCGGACGTGTGCATTTTTCCTTCGGCGAGGGCCATCGAGGAGCGTCCTTGCTTGATCATTTGGCGAAGAAGCCACGCACGAAACCGAAGCAAAACACACAGGGAACGGACGTCCGAGCGATGGCGAGATCGGCACCCTCTCGCTCCTCCGAGGCTCGGGCGGGTGGCAGAATGGGGGGGCGACCCAAAGCGGTGGGGGGCGACGGAGCTGGCCCCCAAAAGGGGCCCTTTTTGGGGGCCCCTTCCCAACAAGGGCCCCCGAAGGGCCCGTTGCTTCGCTTTACCCCCCTTTTGGGTCGCCCCCGTTTGGGGGCCTCCTCCTCCTCCTCCTCCTCCTCCGCCTCCTCTTCTTCTTCTTCTTCTTCTTCTTCTTCTTCTTTATTATTATTACTAAGTGCGGTTGGGGGGAGGCGGGGTTGCGGAAGCACACAGGATAAGGCCCCCCATGGCCACCCGCCAGAGAGGCCCGCGCGGATTGCCTGGACCGGCGCCGGGCCCCGCCGGCGGCGGCTCTGTGGCGCCGCCCCTGGCGTGCTCTCCGGGCGCCCATCCCAGGAGTCCGCGCGGACTTCCCAATCTGTTCCTGCCGATGTCCAGAGCGTGAATTACCTCCCCCGCTTTCGCTTCCAGGCAAAACCAAGCCATACCACGCGCCTCCTCGTCAAGCGGCCTGACCAGTACAGGCCGCAATTTGGTACCGTTTGGTATCTCTTGGAAGCGAGGGTGGTCAAAAGCGAGGTAGGTTTGTTTTCTGTCTCCTTCCCTGGGCGAGGATCGTCCGCTCCCGAGCGTTCCGCAGCGCTCTCAGGACGGCCGCGGCGCCCGACGCATCCGCGCCGGGCCCGCCGGCCCTCGGAGATCCCCGAGTCGGATGTTGCCCCAGCAGTGTGCCTGGCCCCGGGGCTGGGCCTAAGCGGTGCTTGGGCGATTTCGTGGGCCGTTTTCGTTTCGGCTTCGTTTTGCGGTAGAGTTGGATTGAAGGCAAAACGAGGGAAAACGAAAACAGAACGAAAACGAACAACACCGTTTAGGTTCAGCCCTGGCTGGCCAAAGGTGTCCCCAGGATCTCCAAGGATGCCCCCGCGACCTCCGCAGCATACCTCACGAGGCTCACAAGGCCCTCTTGGGCTCCAAACTGGAGCGAACAGTTGGGGACACCCTGGGCCGGGACCATGTCTAGCAGCGCGCGATTGATGCGTCGCTGCCCAGAGTTTTATCCTACATATTCCCGCTAAATTCAGAGCTTAATCTGGCTCGCTGGCCCTGTAATCTGGCTTATTCGCCCTTCATCGTTCCCACGAGGACCAAAATCCAGGGTCCGCTAGGACTCGTTCCCCATTTTACACGACCGAAGCGTTCCCGAAACCCTCCGAAAACCTTCCCCGACGGGGCCGGACGGCTTTTCGGAGGGCTCTGGAGGAGGTTCCGAAGGGTCTTGGTCGTTTTGGAGGGAAGCCAGTGCCTCGCGAATCTGGGGCTTCCTTATATTAACGGCCGCGGCACCCAACACATCCACCAGACTCAGTATCGTTTGACCGATCCCTACCCCCATCCCATCCCCATCCCCGTTTGACCGATTCCCACATCCCACCACCACAGTTGGGGATACAGTGGAGACCCATGCCGAGAAACACCCTGCCTCGCCTCCAGGGTGCCCTTGGTGTCTTGGGGTTCGATGGTTCTGATCTGGGAAGCGTGACGTTCCCACACCGGAAATCATGTTGGACGTCCGGGGGTCGCAGGGTTGGGTTCCTCGAGCTCCTCCTGCACGCCCCCTCAAAACCCGAGGGGAACAGCCCCACGTCCCCATCCATTGGGGTCCAACCCAGCCATGAGCTGTCTCCTCCTCCTCCTCCTCTCCCTCCCTCCCTCCTCCTCTCCTCTCCTCCCCTCCCCCTCCCCCCTCCCCCTCCCCCCTCCCCCTCCCCCCCTCCCCTCCCCAGTGGGGACGGAGCTCGGTCTCCCGGTGCCGGCAGACCCGCCGGCCCTCCGAGAGTTGCCCGATGCGGGCCCGCGCCCGCCTCCTTGATCTTCCTCCCGTGGCTGCCACGGGCGCCAGGCGTGGGGCGCGCGGCGCGTTCCTGCAGCGGCAGGAGCTGGAGTGTTCTCCCAGCGTGTTCGCGAGCGAGCCCCCCTCCTCATCCCCCTTCGGCCTCCTCCTGCTCCTTCCCCTCCTCCCTCCTCCTCCTCCTCCTCCTCCTCCTCCTCCTCCTCCTCCTCCATCCTGTTTCCGTATGGCTTGCGCCTCCACGTCGCACCCCGAGACGCGTCTGAAGGGCGGGCCTGGCGTTTCGCTTGAGGCTCCCTCGCGATTTATGATGTAGTGAGCTGAAAATTGTTAACAGTTCGCAGATGGAGGGCGGATCGTTGTCAAAATGAGGCTCTCGCCTCACTGCCGCGGACATTTGTTTTTAATTGAGAGCGGTACATTTTCAAAATGGGGCTCTCGCCTTAGCGCCGCGCACATCCGCCCCAACAGTTTGCAAGAGTTTCACGGATTGAGTGCGGTTCCTGTTCAACACGCGGTTCTCGTTTCAGCGCCGCGCGCATTTGTCTCAAAAGTTTACAATGGTTTCGCGGATTCAGGGCGGGGTCGTTTTCAGCATTTGGTCCCCGATTCAAGCGGCGCGCGCCTTCGTCGTAATTGTCAGTCGGCAAGAGTTTTCAGGTCGGAGAGCGGGTCGTCTTCAAGGTGTTGTTCTCTCCTCAGCGCCGCGCGCATTCGGCGTACCAGTCTGCAGGGGTCTCACTGATGGAGTTTGCTTATGTTTTTCAAATGTGATTCTCGCCTTAGTGCCGCGCACATGCGTCTCACAGAGTTGCAAGGGCTTCACGGATTGAATGGGGTGTGGGGGTGGTTTTCAACATGGTGTTCTCGCCTTAGCGCCGTGCGCATTCGCCTTATACTTTTGTAAGGCACAAATCGAAGACGGTCCTCTGTCCATGCGTGGCTCCCGACTGTGCGCCGCGCACATCTGTCTTACACGTTTGGATCAATTTGACGGGTTCTTATATTTGATCGTCCTAGGAATTATGCCTCCGTGCGATTTCGGGTTGCCAGGGGGGCACAGTCTGGTTAATTCGGGATGTTGAAGTCCCAGGAATGGTGTCCTGGCGCGATTAATGAATTAGGACGCAACAGTAAAGCTGATTCGCGGCGTGGAAGTCCAAGGCGCGATGTGTTAGCCCGATTCAGGATTCTCAGACTGTTGTCTTCCAGCGAAATACTTCCAGAAGGGTAACTATTTGTTGTAGGGCTTCATGAAGAGGGAACGTGGAGGGAGGGTTTATTGCAACATCGCTGATGCGTCTTAGGTTTACACTCCTCCTCCTCCTCTTCCTCCTCCTCCTCCTCATCATCATCCTCCCCCTCCCGCTTCCCCCTGCCCCTCCTCCTCCCCCTCTTCCCACTCCCCCACCTCCTCCCCTCCTCTTCCTCCCCCTTCCCCTTGCTCTCCTCCGCCCTCCCCTTCCTCCTCCTCCGCCTCCTGCTCCTCCTCCTCCTCCTCTTCCTCCCCCTCCCCCCTCCCTCTCCCCCCCCTCCTCCTCCTCCCCCTCCTCCTCCTCCTCCTCCTCCTCCTCCTCCTCCTTCTATTACGTTAGACTAGCATTAGGTGCAAGTCTCTTGCGTGCGCCAAGGTGGGTTGCATCTGGCCGAGCCTAGCGTCTTTGTGTATCATAAGCGCCCCAAGTGGCTTGGGGCTAAGGGGGTCAGATCACTGCGCCAAGTGGGCGGAACCCACTTAGCCCAGATTGTTCATCCCCCTGAGCCACATGTGTAACCCATTCGTTTTTTAGTCTAGGCCAGACTTGAACCCACCTTGACATCCACTGATGACCCTCCTTTCCCATTAGCAACCCCCGCGCCAGACCCAGTAGGTGTGCCCAGAGATCCTGGTGTCTCAATCTTTTCGAGCCGCGCGTGTTCGCCCATGTTCGGTCCTGGGGGCCCTCGCAGATTGATTCAGCTTGAAAAGTGGTGATTTTCCTGATGCTGCATTTTTTTGTCGTAACGTCAGATCTCAGGGTGACCCTTCGCGCTTCTGGCTTCGGCTCCCCCGCAGCCCCCCCCGGAACAGCGCTCCAAAGGCCGCTCCTGCCCCAGGGCCACTCTGGCGTGCAGCCGCCGCCGTGGGGCCGCCGCCGTGGTGCCGCCGCCGTGGTGCCGCCGCCGTCGTGCCGCCGCGGCGCCGCGAGCCGCCGCGACGGCTGCCGTTGCCGTGCGCAGGTGGAGTCCGCGGTGGACATCTGCGCGCGCTTCTGCACCGGCGGGATGTCCCTCGGGGCCCTGTCGCGGGAGGCGCACGAGGCGGCGCAGCGTGCCCACTGCCTGCGCGCGGCAGTGCCCGGGGGGGCGGTGCCGAAGAGGCGCGGCGTTTCGGCGCCCGATCGGAAGGGGAGCAGCCAGGTAAGGAGGAGGAGGAGGAGGAGGAGGAGGAGGAGGAGGAGGAGGAGGAGGAGGAGGAGGAGGAGGAGGCAGAGGAGGAGGAGGAGGAGAGCAGGAGGAGGAGGAGGAGGAGGAGGAGGAGGAGGAGGAGGAGGAGGAGGAGGAGGAGGAGGAGAGGGGAGGAGAGGAGGAGGGATATGGGATGATGATGCTGATGATGACGATGATGATGAGGATGATGAAGATGATGATGATACTGATGATGATGATAATGTTGATGATGATGATGATTCTGATGATGATGATGATGCTGACGATGTTGACGATGCTGGCGATGATGATGATGACGATGCCATTGCCAATGACGCTGATGAGGATACATATGATGATAGTGATGATAATGATCATGACGATGATGATGACGCTGATGGTGCTGATGTTGCTGCTGCTGCTGAGTGTGATGCTGTTGCTGATGCTGATGCTGCTGTTCATGATGATGCTGATGATGATCATGGCGATGATGATGCTGATGATGCTGATGATGCTGATGATGATGCAGCTGCTGCTGATGATGATGCTGCTGATGCTGGTGCTGATGATGATGCTGATTCTGATTCTGATGATGATGATGATGCTAATGATGATGATGATGATGACGATGATGATGACCATGACGAGGATGCTGCTGCTGCTGCTGATGATGATGTTGATGATGATGCTGATGATGATGCTGGTGATGCTCATGATGCTGATGATGATGCTGATGATGATGCTAATGACGGTGATGGTGATACTGCTGATGCTGACGATGCTGACGACGGTGATGGTGATGATGCTGATGATGACGATGCTGATGATGCTGATGATGATGCTGATGATGATGATGCTGTTGATTCTGATGCTCATGATGATGCTGCTGATGATGCTGCTGCTGCTGATGATGATGATGACGCTGTTGATGATACTGCTGCTGCTGCTGATGTTGAGTCTGTTGATGATGATGATGATGATGAAGACGACGATGATGATGACGACGATGCTGATTCTGATCATGATGACGATGATGATGACGATGATGATGCTGATGATGATGATGATGATGATGATGATGATGATGATGTCGCTGGTGATGATGAGGGTGATGATATAGCTGATGCTGATGCTGATGATGCTGCTGCTGATGGTGATGATGATGATGATGTCGATGCTGATGATGCTGTTGAGGATGATTCTCATGATGATGCTGATGTTGGTGATGATGACGATGATGATGATGATGATGCTGATGATGATGATGATGATGATGATGATGACGGTAATGATGGCGACGACGATGATGATGATGGTGATGATGATGATGATGATGATGATGATGATGATGTCGACGATGATTATGATGCTGATACTGATGATGATGCTGATGCTGATGCTAATGACGGTGATGGTGATACTGCTGATGCTGACGATGCTGACGACGGTGATGGTGATGATGCTGATGATGACGATGCTGATGATGCTGCTGATGATGATGCTGATGATGATGATGCTGTTGATTCTGATGCTCATGATGATGCTGCTGATGATGTTGATGATTACGATGTAGTTGATGATGACGATGACGACGATGATACTGATGATGCTGATGATGACGATGTTGCTGATGATGACGATGCTGATGATGATGCTGATGCTGATGATGACGATGATGATGAGTAGGCTGCTGCTGCTTCTCCTGCTGCTGCCGCTGACGATGATCAGGATGCTGATGATGATGAAGATGCCCATGATGAGGATTCTGATCATGCTGATGCTTATGATGATGCTACTGCTGCTGCTGCTGATGATGATGACGATGCTGTTACTGATGATGATGCTGATGATGATGATGATGATGTTGATGATGATGATGACGATGCTGCTGCTGCTGATGATGATGATGACGATGATGATGATGATGATGATGATGATGATGATGATGATGATGATGAGGATGATGATGATGATGATGATGATGATGATGATGATGATGATGAACCTGATGCTGACGATTACGATGATTCTGGTTACAGTGATGCTGATGGTGATAGTGATGGTGAGGAGGAGGAGGAGGATGCTGCCTCTGATGTTGAGGAGGATGACGAGGAGAAGGAGGAGGAGGCGAAGGGAGGATGGAGGAGCTCGGAGGAGGAGGAGGAGGCGGAGGAGGAAGAGGAGGCGGAAGAGGAGGCGGAGGCTGAGGAGGGAGGAGGAGGAGGAGGAGGAGGAGGAGGAGGAGGAGGAGGAGGAGGGGAGGAGGAGGAGAGGAGGAGGAGGAGGGAGGGAGGCAGGGAGGGATGAGGAGGAGGTGGAGGAGGAGGAGGAGGAGGAGGAGGAGGAAGGAGGAGGTGGAGGAGGAGGAGGACGGAGGAGGGAGGAGGATGAGGAGGGGTGGAGGAGGAGGAGGAGGAGGAGGAGGAGGAGGAGGTGGAGGAGGAGGAGGAGGAGGAGAAGCATGACCATATCCAGAAGCATAACCAGAAGCAGACGCAGAAGCAGAAGTAGGCAGGCAGGCAGGCAGGCAGGCAAGCAGGCAAGCAGCGCTCCGAGAAGAGCCCGAGGTCGATTGAACTACGGAGGAACTTTGGGATCCCCCTCAATTGAGGGACCGAATCCGTGGATGGCGAGTGGCGGTGGCCGTACCGCTCGGATCGAGGTATCGGCGGCGGGCAGCCAGAGGCGCAGCCCGCCCCGCAGAAACT